TTTGAAGCAGTGAAACCATCTTTCACTTAAGCTGGACATTTCTTTAATGTCTCTTACCAAACCTATCCTTTAGCATTTGAAACATGTTCTTTAACCATTTGCTAACATGGTTTGGTTCTTAGGCCTGCTGTATTTATTACATGCAATTATATATATGTGCAGACACAAATGTTCCATTTTTGCATATCAGTGTGTTGTGGTTTCTTATGATTTATTTCATATGCCTGTGACACTAGGTTTTCTTGAAATGTTTTTCCTAGTCTTTTATTTCACAGCATTCTGGATTTTAAATGTATAATTCAATGAGTTTTAGTAAATTTACACATTTGTGCAATCATCACCATGATCTAATTTCAGAACATTTCAATTACTCTTGAAAGAAGTCTCATGCCCATTAGCAGTTTCTCTGTACCCCCAGCTCCAGGCAACCACTAATCTGTCTCTATAGATTTGCCTTTTCTGAACATTTTATCTAAGTGGAATCACTCAATATGTAGCCTTTGCATCTGGCCCCTTTTGAGATTTATCTGTTCTTATAGCATGTATCAGTACTTCATTCCTTTTTATTGCCAAATAGTGTATTCCATTCTGTTGTCTGGATAAATCACAGCTTGTTTATCTGTTTACCAGTTGATAGCCATTTGGTTTGTTTTCAATTTTTGGCTGTCATGAATAATGCTGCTGTGAACATTTGTATACAAGTCTTTGTGTGGACATGTGTTTTCACTTTTCTTGGGTGGATACCTAGGAGTAGAATTGCTAGGTCACGTGGTAACTGTTTCCCAAAGTGGCTTTGTCAACAATATATGAGGGTTTCACCTACTCTACATCCTTGCCAATACTCACTATATCAGTCTTTTAAAATTTTAGCCATCATAATAGGTATGTAGTAGGATGTCATTGTAGTTTTAATTTGCATTTTCCTAAAGACTAAGGATGTTGAACATCTTTTTATGTGCTCATGGCCATTTTCATATCTTCTTTGATGATATAAACTAATATAATACAAAGTCAGTGTTCAGCATGGAGACAAAAGTTATTCCACTTATTTTAACAGACAATTAAATATAAAGAATTGTTATTAGGTATAAAGTTGTTAATAAGTAGGTAACTGAAAAGACAGAAAGCAAACACTAAGATAACATGGAGGTAGTGGCTATAGGAAGCAGCCATCAACTGTAGGGCTGGGGGCAAATGGGGTGGAATCTTTATTAAATCTTTAGAAGCTTAGAGGAGAGGCCCCACAGAGCTGAAACCCCGACCTCTGGAGTGAGTGGTGGTGCAGGTGTTGCTGGGGGGAGTGTAAGAGGCTAGTTCTGTAAGCGCTGAAAACTTGCAGGCCAGATTCAGCTGCTGCGCTAGAAGGAATGGCTGCTGCCCTGGTGAAGAAGTGTTGCTGGGGTGACACTGGGAGCTAAAGCCAGCAGGAAGAAGGAGCTAGTCTCCCTCTAGTGTGCCCTGGTGGCAGAGCCTAACAGGGAGCCAACTGGTAAAACAGAAATACAGTTTTCAGAGTTACAAAGCTGAGTTTGGAAGGATATGGGTTGGAGCAGGGAGAGAATAGCCATATAATTGGCCAGCCCACCCCTTTGAATATTCAGTATCTAGACCTATGCTCCTAAACATATTTTAACTTCCGCACAACAAAAACTACTTTCTTTTCATCTAACAGAATATAAACATTCTCACACAAATGAAAATGTTGTTCTCACCAGCTCCCTAAAATGCAGTCTCACAAAGTCTCATTAGTGTATCCATCTCTAGGAGGTAGTCACATTACCTGGTGCAGGGCTTTGTTAATTTCTACTTAAATTTAGCTAAAGTTCTGCTTGAGTGTTGTGTTACCCAGAGTTAAATTGTAGAGGTAAGTTTCAACAATACTTGTATACAATGCAAGAGGAAGGAGAAGAAATTGGTTTTCTCTCTCTTTGTCTCCCCAAAAGCAAGAAGGAAATATACATATCTGCCACTTGGCAATAGTTGAGATTTGTATTTTTCTTCTCCTGTTACATGTTCCATGTTTCCTTTGCACTCAGCCCCTTCAACTGATTGGGTTTCTGTACCTGAAGGTCTGAATTCTCAGTGGTTCTGCCTTTTGTTGGATTGCTGTGGTTTTCCGTTAACTTTTACATTGGAGATAGAAGTACTAAGAGCTGCCTTGAAGAAGGAAGCCGTGGTCCTTCCTGACCCTTTGGGAGGCAGCAACCCAGGGTCCTCTCACTCCTACTGGCCGTGTGTCCTCCTCACTGGCCTCTTGGCTTAGTGGCTGAGGAGCCCAGAATAACTCAGTGGCAGTCTTACCTTCCAGTTCACAGGAAACATTGCTGTCTCCCTTAAATAGCTCCCTTAAAACCAGGTCCTCTGTACTAGCAGGGATGAAAAACAGAAATTTTTGGAGTGAGTTATTAGGGTAACAGTGAGAGGGGCCACTCCTACTTGTCCTATTGATTCCTAGACCAGTATCTTCTTACTTTGGGGAGACAGATGAGTCAAAGCGTGTGCTGTGTTGTGTGAGACAGAACTCCGTCTTTCAGAATGTTGCCTTACGACTGTTGTCTTGAGTAGGCTGCACCATTCTTCCACAGGGTCACCTGCTTGTGGATGAAGGGATGTGTAGTGAGACTGGTGAATTCCAAGTGCTGAGGGATGCTCAGAACTGGTACATGCAGTGGTTTTCAAATTGCAGGCCATGAGCCACGAGTGGTCCTGAAAACAGTTCTGTGAGCTATACCGCTTTCCTCCCTCCCTCTCTTCCCTCCAGTGAACTGTAATAGACCAGAGAGGCTGGAATAGCAAATAGCATTGTATGACACAGGTTGTAATTGCAATTGTATTTTTGGGAATATTTTTACACATATTTACCATATCATGATTTACAATGAATTTCTCAGTATGTTTGTGGTAACAATACTTTGAAAGCTAGAGGTCTAAAGAGACATATGACCTTGTGGTTCCCTTATCAGCAGCCTCTGGTGGTTTAATATGTTGAATTTTCAGAACTCCACGTGGTGTTCGCATTGGTTGCAGCCCTTTAGTGGGCATGAAGATGGGCTTCTGCTGAAATCTTGTTTCCTTGGAACAAGGTCCTAAGATGGCCATCATGAGTGGGATCACCTGTAAAATTGAACTTTGAGGGTTATTTAGAAGATTAAATGAGGCTGAGCGCAGTAGCTCATGCCTGTAATCCCAGCACTTTGGGAGGCTGAGGCAGGTGGATCGTGAGGTCAGGAGTTTGAGACCAGCCTGGCCAATATGGTGAAATCCCCTCTCTACTAAAAAATATAAAAATTAGCTGGGCGTGGTGGTGTGGTTCCAGCTGTAGTTCCAGCTACTCTAGAGGCTGAGGCAGGAGAATCGCCTGAACCTGGGAAGGTTGCAATGAGCCTAGATTGTACCACTGTACTCCAGCCTGGGTAACAAAGTAATGCTCTGTCTCAAAAAAAAAAAGATTAAATGAGGCCATGTGACTCAGTTCTGTCTTCAGTATATGAATATAGCAGGAATTCATTCCCATGTAACACACTGTTAAACCAAGAGGTACTCTGCACTGTGCTCTTTATGTAATGTTTATCTTTAGGTTTTACATTTAAAATTTAAATCTCCTACATTGTTGAGATGACTAGACTGGCCTAAATAGAGCCGATTTTTATATTTGAATAAAATTTCATATTCCCTGTTAACCTTTTTCCATCCCTCCTCTGACTTTTTCTCCAATTGGTATTTTTTTCTTGGATCTTGAGAGCTTTGTGGTTAAAGCAGAGATGAAAAATTTGTGGGAAAATATCTGCAAAATAGATTTCCTTGAATGAATTGGGATAGATGGCTTGGCCCTCGGGTCCAGATCTTGCCTAACATAATAAATAAGCCAAAGTTATTGATCAGACAAAAGGTTTCCCTTAAGTGCTCTTTAAATTTAAAGCAGAATAGCTTTAACCAGCCCTTGGTGAAGAAATCATCTTAGCCATTCTTAGCTGTCCTCTCTTCTGCATATGCAGTGCTGGGAATGCTTCTGGGCATTTGCTGTGTTAGGGGTAGTGATATGTTTTGGAAAGATAACTGTATTGAAGTTAGGGTACTTTCAACAGAAATTCCACTTTGGATAGATATACCCTTTGATATGTGCCGTCTTGTTTTTTTAAAGAAGCACCTTTATAAGGATATGATTCATACATCATATGATTCATCCATTTAAGATGTTCAGTGGTTTTCAGTATATTCAGAGTTGTGCATCCATCACCATAGTCAATTTTAGAACATTTTTATTACTTTCCAAAGGAACAGTGGACCCCTTAGCCATCACCCCAGAACTCTGCCCCACCGAACTCCCTAGCCCTAGGGAATTGTTAATCTGCTTTCTGTCTCTAGAGAGTTGCCTGTTCTGGACATTTCATAGCAGTGGATTCACGCACTATGTGATCCTTATGCCTAGCTTCTTTCACTTAGCATAATGTTTTCAAGAGTCACCCATGTTGTGGGTTTTCATCTTTTAAAATTGGTGTATAATATTTCATTGTATTCTACAGTTGTTTATCCATTTATCAGTTCATGGACATTTGTGTTATTTCCAATTTTTGTTTATTAAGAACAGTGCTGTTAAGAGCATTCATGTATAAGTTTTTGCGGGAACATATATTTTCAACGTTTTTGGGTATCTCGGAGTGGGATTGCTAGATCATATGGTAACCTGTGTTTAACCATTTAAAGAACAGCCAGACTATTTTCCAAAGCGGCTGCCCTGTTTTACCTTCCCATCAGCAGTGTGTGAGGCTTCTCGTTTCAACATATCCTCACCAATACCTGTTATTTTGATTAGCAAAGCCAATTGAATTGGTACACCAATCCAGTTGCTACACCAATACTTATCTTTTGGATTTTAGCCGTCTAGTGAGTGTGAAGTGATATCTCATTGTAGTTTTGATTTGCATTTCCCCAATGACTCTTCACTTGGTTATTGTCCATCTTTTTTGTCTTATCTGTTCTGTTTTTGTTGTTGTTTTCTTTTTAACATGGAATGCTTCATGAATTTGTGTTATTATCCTTGTGCAGGGACCACACTAGTCTTTCTCTTTATCATTCTAATTTTATAATAGTATATGTGTGCTGAAGCAAGCACCTATCTCTTTTTAATTGACAAGGAGGGATAGCAATAATTGTAATCCATCCAGTTCTTATGTGGAGGATAGTTTCTCCTAAATTTTCCCACTTCTTTGACCTAGTTAAATTCACATAAGCATCAGGGACTGTTTGACTGAAGTAACACTCTTTTAAAACATAGTTACAGTTAAGCCATAACTCAATTGTCTATAAATAAGAGAGAGTCTTGTGAAGGTTCAGAATTTTGTCTTTGTGAAAAGAAATTAAAACCTTGTAAGGAATCAGCTAAAGAATGTAAGTTTTATGAGCTTCTATAAACAGGGAAATAGGGAATGTTCCTTTTAACCTGATTATAAGCCAAGACAAGCAAATGCATATTTTTTTTTGTCTTTTTATACTGCTTTTAAAAAAACATAGGACTATTTTTAAAAATTGCACTTTCCTTCCCATATTTTAGAGAGGTAACCACATTAGTATCATTATTACTTTTAATTAATCTAATTGAAAATCTCACCAAATTAGAATAGTTTTAAAAATGTCAAATTCAAATCTTATGTATGTTTTATGTTTTCCTCTTTGCCCTCAAGGAATGTTTCTTCTGTTGAGAAAGCATTTCTATATTGCCACAATGACAGTAAAAGACTGAAAACAGTCAGCTGCTAAAATGTAAGATACAAGTAATTGATGTAGTAGAATCTGAATTTTAATCTCTTCACATGTCAGAACAACTTTTCAACAGCCATAACTCCATATGTGAAAAACATGAACGGTTTCAAGGGTGCATTTGTATGCGAGTTATACTTTATATGTCTTTTATTGTTTAAAGTTGGTATACCCTGCCATTAAGTGATCTTTTCAGATGTCTGCCTAAAGTAGAATGTCCTTGGGAATGGCTAGTGGAGGCCAAGAAGAGATCCCTGAGTTCTGACTTCATTATGCCATTGAGTTTGTCCTGCTTCCTTGTTCTTCATCCAGTGTCTAATTTACAGTGGGGCCATGGGTGCTTCCTGCGCTCATGTGATCCTTGGTGCCATCAGCCCTTCCAGATGTGTTCACTGATGCTCGACAGCTTTGCCAATAGATGTGCTCTTTGGCAGCTTCTTACATTTGATATAGCATTAGCTTTTATGGATTTATTGGCTTTTCTTTAAAGAACTGAGCTCCCTCCGAAACCACGGTTTTGCTCCATGACCTCCTATAACAGTAATTTAAGTTGCCATTTCTGGCAGCTTCCTGAGCTGAGGGGTCAGTTGGACCTTGTACATTGTTTGTTTATTCATTTCATGGCTGTCAATGAAAGTAGTGGAAGTTGTCTATGAATCAGAAATTTAAATCTCACCTATCTTTTTTCTGTGACGATATATAGTTGGAAGAGTTTTTCCAGGAAGTGCGGTGCAGTCATTCATTACTTAACAACAGGGATAGATCCTGTAGCTCATCTTTCCTTTGTGAGGGACTCAGAGGCCATGGGAGAGAGGAGGAGAACAGACCAGTTACCCTCCTTTTTTTTCTGGCCTTACACTTCACCTGTTTTTAGAAGTGATTGGAAAACAATGCCCAGCAAATTGGTTTTCTATTTTGTAAAAATATAGTAAGATATCTGTAACATAAAATTTATCATCTTAACTATTTTTAAGTGTACACATCACATTGATACTAGGGACATTCACATTGCTGTGCAACCATCATCACTATTCTTCTCCAGAACTTTTTTATCCTCTCAAGCTATAACTCTGACTCCTCATTTTCCTTCTCCCAGTCTCTGGCAACTACCATGCTACTTTCTGTTTCTATAAATTTGACTATTCTAAATACCTCATCTAAATGGAATCGTGCAACATTTGTCCTTTTGCATCTGGTTTATTTTACTTACCACAGAGTCCACAAATTTCATCCATGTTGTAGCATATGCAAAATTTCTTGCATTTTAGGGCTGAATAATCTATTGTGTGTGTAGATACCACATTTTACTTATGTGTTCATCCACTGATGGACGCTAAGGTTGCTTTCACCCCTTGGCTATTATGAATAATGCTGTTATGAACGTGGGTATGCACATCTGTCTTCAACTCCTTCTTTCATTTCTTACGTCTATTCCCAGAGGTAAAATTGCTGGATCACATGGTAATTGTGTTTAGTTTTTTGAGGAATCGCCATACTGCTTTCCATAACAGCTGCACTATTTTACATTCCTACCAGCAAATAAGTTGTTTGTCTTAAGCTTTTCTTCCTTTTGAAGACCCGACTGATTGATTGATGGATTAATGGATTGATTTTTAGAGACAGGGTCTCTCTGTCTCTCAGGCTGGAGTGCAGTGGTACAGTCATAGCTCAGTGTGGCATTCAATTCCTGGGCTCAAGTGATTTTCTCGCCTCAGCCTCCTGGGTAGCTGGGCTACAGGCTTGTGCCATCACATCCAGCTAATTAAAAAAAAATTTTTGTATAGACTGGGATCTTGCTATGTTGCTCAGGCTGGTCTTGAACTCCTGGGCTCAAGCAGTCCTCCTGCCTCAGTCTCCGAAATTGCTGGAATTGCAGGTGCCAGCATTTCTGGCTGACCTGTGTTATTTTAAAAGCTGTTGAACTTGATCTCCTACCAGAAAAAGGAAGATTCTCTCATTTCCTTTGAGTGACTGTGGTCTCTGAAAGACCCCCCCCCACACACACCCCTGGCCCCTTGCTCCCTGGAGCTAGGTCCGGTTGTTTCCACTTCCTTTCACTTGGTCACTCCGCGAGCTCGCCAGTCATTCAGAGCTGCCCACAGGGACTGTTTGCCGCCCTGACATTCGAGCACCAACGTGGAGAAACCTGTGCTACTTTGTGTTCTCTACTTTGGGGAACACTTAAATAACACTATTAACAACAGGCCCAACTTCAGTATTTTATGCAATCATAACTTTAGGGATACATTTTCAGCAAAAATATTTTGCTTCACAGTGGTCCAGGCAGAAGGAGTATAGCCCTGAGTTCTCGCAGGGGTCCAACAACTCCCGTCCACACTATGCCCTCTGGCCCTGCCCGTCACCTCTGTAACTTCATGGTAACTGGTACTAGACATCTCCAAGTGCTCTAACTCTCTTGTGTATTGAGACGGGGATAATAGATGATGGATAAATTTAAATATGCAGTAAGTCTAAATTTTGAGGATTATGTTCCCGCACTGCATCATGGTAAGAGGTCACACTTTTATTTAATAGGTCCTTATTCAATAATACTTCCTTAATTTCCATTATTTAAAGAAAAAATCTTTTTCTTTTTTTATTTTAAGCTCTGGGATAAATGTGCAGAACGTGTAGATTTGTTACATAGGTATACATCTGCCATGGTGGTTTGCTGCACCTATCAACCCGTCATCTAGGTTTTAAGCCCTGTTTGGATTAGGTATTTGTCCTAATTCTCTCCCTCCCCTCGGCCCCCACCCCCTGACAGGCCCCGCTGTGTGATGTTCCCTTCCCTGTGTCCATGTGTTCTTATTGTTCAACTCCCACTTATGAGTGAGAGCATGCGGTGTTTGGAGAAAATCCTTTTTCTAATGGTCATTGCTGAAAGCTCCACTCCTTATTACACAAGCTGTCTTAACTCTTTTTTTCATGTTTCAACATCCCCATTTCCCTCTTTAAATCATTTTTTTCAACAACAAAAAAATTTGCTGTTTGAGTTTGCTATATCTGAAATTCTCATATATTTGAGTTTTGTAGGAGATGGTTGTATTTTTAGAAGAATTACCCTACTTTTGTCTCATTATCAGGGAAGAAAACAATTTAATTTGGGACAAAGGAAGAAGAAAGACCAGCATTTATTGAGCATGTGGTATACACTAGGCTCTGTGCCAGATACTCTAATTACATTTGATTATATTGATTGGTTATAAAAGGAGTGAAGCATTGAGAGACCAACTTACATAAGGTTTCTCTGCTCAGCAGAATTCACTGCCTTGCTTTATGAAATATGGACTGTCAGAGATGAAAATAAGCTTTTCAAATGGACTGCCTTTCATAATGGCATTTAAATAGAATGAATGATGTGTTAGACTGATCCGTCCTCCCTTTATTTAGGCGTGGTGAAGTGTGCTGTATCGTGTATGATGTGTAGTATCATTATGTGAAATCTTCCTTCTAGCCACTGCAGAATGGGGAGAATTCCTCTCCCTTCCTGGCCTCCTATGATAGACCCCAGGTCTGATATAAGTAGAAGACTTCTATCTGTTTAAAATACAATATTCCAGTTTATAGTTGTAGATTTTTTAGCTGTCACTCTAGATTCCTCTTTATTCACATGTTCCTGGAAGAGTAGTAAATACATCTACCAATCAAACTCATTTGTCTGTTAGAATACATTTAAAACAGAAATTTGGCAAAGAGAGTTGTAAGTGGGAACAGCTGCTCCAGATGCCTAAGCTTTGTGGGGGCTCAAAGGATGGGACCAGTTTCCTGTGGTCCCTAGCTGCATGGCTGAGGTTTGTTGCGACCGCCAAGTGGCCAGCAGGTCTTAACCTGAATTTATTTTCTGTGCAGGCTTTCTGGGGGTTTGAACAGCCTGGAGCCCCTTTCCCAGGGTGTAAAATGCACACCCTGAGGGCAGCCCCAGCCACCTCCCATGTTATGTGGTTTAGTATATTCCTGAGAAGTGGGACCAAAACAACGGGCAGAAATTGTTGAATTTATCAAGCAAGGTGGCTGTTTAGGTTACACAGTAAATCCTTTGTGAAGTATAAGGCAATAGGTACTAAACATATTTCTAGCAATTTCTTGGTTGAGTTCTCTCCTGTTACCTTATTTGAACTTGATATCCTATGGGGTGGGCAGACTAGGTGCTGTTCTCCCCACCCCCATTCTTAAATTTTTTTTATTTTTTGAAACACAGTCTCACTTTGTTGCCCAGGCTGTGGTGCAGTGGTGCTATCTGGGCTCACTGCAACCTCCACCTCCCATGTTCAGGCGATTCTCCTGCCTCAGCCTTCCGAGTAGCTGGGACTACAGGCACATGCCACCATGCCTGGTTAATTTTTTGTAT